CCACATTGGGTCTCAGGGCTCTATGGCTGTCCCTCAATATCCTAACATTGGGTCTGGGGGTCTATAGGGGTTGCTGGGTGGCCTAACATTGGGCCTGGGGGTCTATAGGGGTCTCTGGGTGCCCTAGCATTGGGTCTGGGGATCTGTAGGGCTCTCTGTATGCCCTATGGGGCTCTCCCAATACTCCACACAAGCTCTGGATGCCCCATAGAGCTTTCCTGTTGGCCCACATTAGCTCTGGATGCCCTATGGGGTCCCCAGGTGACATAACATTGGGTCTGGGGGATCTATAGGGCTCTCTGATGCCCTACAGAGCTCTTCCCACAACCTCTGGATGCCCTATAGGTTTCTCCCAATAACCCACATTGGTTCTGGATGCCCTATGCGGCTCTCCCATTAGCCCACATTAGCTCAGGGGGGTCTATAGGGGTCTCTAGAATCCCTATAGGGCTCTCCCAATACCCCACACGAGCTCTGGATGCTCTGTGGGGCTCCCCAGGTGCCCCCACATTGGGTCTCAGGGCTCTATGGCTGTCCCTCAATATCCTAACATTGGGTCTGGGGGTCTATAGGGGTCGCTGGGTGGCCTAACATTGGGTCTGGGGGTTCCATAGGGCTCTCTAGATGCCCTAGCATTGGGTCTGGGGGTCTATAGGGCTCTCTGGCTGCCCTATGAGGCTCTCCCAATACTCCACACAAGCTCTGGATGCCCCATAGAGCTTTCCTGTTGGCCCACATTAGCTCTGGATGTTCTATGGGGTCCCCAGGTGACCTAACATTGGGTCTGGGGGTCTATAGGGGTCGCTGGGTGGCCTAACATTGGGTCTGGGAGTTCCATAGGGCTCTCTAGATGCCCTAACATTGGGTCTGGGAGTTCCATAGGGCTTTCTGGCTGCCCTATAAGGCTCTCCCAATACTCCACACAAGCTCTGGATGCCCTATGGGGTCCCCAGGTGACCTAACATTGGGTCTGGGGGGTCTATAGGGCTCTCTGGGTCCCCTAACATTGGATCTGAGGGATCCATAGGGCTCTCTGTGTGCCCTATAGAGCTCTCAAAATACCCCACATTAATCCTGGATGCTCTATAGGGCATTCCTGTTACCCCACATTGGCTCTGGATGCCCAATGGGGGTCCCCAGGTGCCCTAACATTGGGTCTGGGGAGCCTATAGGGGTCTCTGGGTGCCCTATGGGGCTCTCTCAATACCCTACACAAGCTCTGGACGCCCTATAGGACCCTCCTGCTGCCCCCACACTGGCTCTGGATGCCTCATGGGGGTCCCCAGTTGCCCTAACATTGGCTTTGAAAGGTCTACAGAGTTGTTGGATGCCCCCACATTGGGTCTGTAAGGCTCTCGGGATGCCCTGACATTGGTCTGGAAATTCTATACGGCTCTCTGGGCCCCCTAACATTGGGTCTGGGGGGACTATGGGGCTCTCCGGGCCCCCTAACATTGGGTCTGGGGGGTCTATGGGGCTCTCTGAATGCCCCCACATTGGGTCTGGCGGTCTATAGAGCTCTCTGGATGCCCTAACATTGGGTCTGGGGGTCTACGGGGCTCTCTGCCCCCACATTGGGTCTGAGGAGTCTATAAGGCTCTCGGGATGCCCTAACATTGGGTCTGGGGGGTCTATAGGGTTCTCTGTATGCTTTATGGGGCTCTCCCAATACCCCACAGTGGCTCCGGATGCCCTATAGGCATCCCCCATTGGCCAACACTGGTTCTGGGGGGGTCTATAGGACTCTTTGAGTGCCCCTACATTGGGTCTGGGGGTTCTATGGGGCTCTCTGAATGCCCTAACATTGG